AGTCTGCACTCCCACCAACAATGGAGGAGGGTTCCTTTCTCCCCACAACCCCGCCAACATTTGTTATTGATTGATTTCTTGATAGCAACCATTCTTTGTAAGGTGAGGTGGAATCTCAGTGTTGTTTTCATCTGCATCTCTCGAATGGTCAGTGATGTGGAACATTTTTTCATATATTTACTTGCTGCTTTTACTTCTTTGAGAAATGTCTGTTCATTTCGGATGCCCATTTTTTGAATCGGGTCTTTATATTTTGGGGGGCTGATTGCTTTGAGTTCTTTATATATCCTTGTTAATAGTCCTTTGTCTGAGGAACAGCTGGTAAAAATTTTTTCCCACACTGTAGGTTGTCTCTTAGTTCTGCTGATGGTTTCTTTTGAAGTACATAAGCTTTTTAGTGAGATGAGATCCCAGTTGTTGATTCTATCTGCTAGTTCCTGTGCTACTGAGGATTTGTTCATAAAGTCTTTTCCTATACCAATGTCTTCCAGAGTTCTGCCTAACTTACCTTCCAGCAAGTTTAATGTTTCTGTTTTAATATTTAGATCTTTAATCCATTTGGATTTTAATTTAGTGCATGGTGAAAGATAAGGGTCTAATTTTAATCTGTGGCAGGTTGACATCCAGTTTTTCCAACACCATTTATTAAAGAGGTTATCTTTCCTCCACTGAGGATGGTCAGCTCCTTTGTCAAAGATGAGGTAGCTGAGTACATCTGGGTTTGTTTTTGTGTATTCCAGTCTGAAGAACAGGTCATTTTAAAGAGGAGTCTGCTCTAATGAAGTGAATGAACTGTCCATAGATGGACCTAGAGGTCCCCCTCCAAATCCAGGCAGTATTTTCTCCACCACTGCTCACACTGTTTTCTTCTGAACACCCCCCATCTCCTTGTTCATCACCACTTTCTTACAAGCATACAGCTTGAGAAACGTTCCCAGTTCAGCTTTCCTTCCCAGGAGCTGCCCACTCAGGCCTCCCCACCTGACATCCTCAGAGTTGTGGCTGTGGTCACTGAGGGACTGATGAGCTCAAGTCACCCCTGGGGTGGAAGGACTGAGCCTTACCTTTCAGAATACAGCTCTTCTTATTCTTGCTCCATCTCTTCTTCATGTGGTATTAAAAGACAAGGAAAAAAGAGAAGCTTTGGGCCAATTCTCCTGCTCATCTCCCTGGATTTTACAGACCGTTTTCCTAAACAGTATGACTTTTTCCCATTAGCAAACAGCCCATGTTTAAAGTGGCTAAAAATATTTTCTGTTTTTCTTGTTTGGAAATCGCAGAAGAATTTCTCTGTGAGCTCTACCATGGATGTCTTGAATCACAGTTCCTCTGCTCAGGGAGCACAAGCTGAGATCTACCCATGCCTCTCAGCCAGGGAGGATTTTGCTTCTTGAAGCCAGAGGCAACTCCATCCGGTGGTGGAGGCCCTCAGGGGCTCAGCACAACTGGCAGATCAGACCAGCACTGAGAATAAGCGAAGCCCAGAGGCACCTGGTACTGGACTCTGACCTTCCTCAGAGGCCCCCAACTCTCTTGGAAATCCGATCCTTGGCCATGGAGTCAATGTTTGATTTCACCCTGGCACCTCCAGCTTACACACAGATAGTCTGAGAGCCTGAGACAGGTGTTCCTAGTGCCTACCCTCACCCCTTCCCTGAAACTTCACCACAGAATTATATTGTAATCGTTCCCACAATTTCCCCTCTCTTAAGTTTCTGTATTTGATTTGGAAAAGTGGAAAGAAGAGTGGAAAAAGAGCATCGACATCTGTTGGTTTGGCCAAGAGTTCCTTACCTTTCTGATGGTCTTTTTCCTAGTTGTTGGGGTAGACTGACTAATTTGGAGCTGTGGGATTAATAGAAGGAAGTATACCAATCCATACCCAAGGGCAAGGATAACATCTGTTGCCCAGGTAGTAGAACCGGGGCACTTCCAGGTATCAAGAAAACATTTTGAAAGAAAGAGAAACTTCATCATCTGAGAAGCACTGTCACCTTTGGGCAACTGAAGTCCCTTGGAGACCAGGAGACAGGCCCAGCCACGGCCCCTCCCCCACCCCCCACCTCTCCAGATCCTGCACAGCTTGGGTCTTCCAGATCCCTCCTTCCAACTCCCCTGCTCTACTTGGCAGGATGTTTGTCCAGGATCACAAGTCTTGTTGCTTCCTTGGGGATGTCTGCCTGAGCCGCATCAGTTTCATAGTTATGAGAAATGTGCAGTTGTCTGTGTAATTATTGTATTTCACAGGAATTATCACACTCAGGAGCTCCAATTTCTGCAACTCCAGCTTTTCCCTTGCTTTGCATAAGCTTGTTTAAAACTGGAATTTCTTTTATACTTACCTAGCATTCTGAATTTTTAAACAAATTTTGTACAATTTTTTTAGTTATTTTTCAGTCTTCAGTTAGAAGGTCTAAACCTTCTCCCAGAAAGAAACTGAATCAATACATTATTAAAAATTCACAACTCTAAATATGTATAACAAATGAAACAAAATTTGAAATAATATTATTTTGTGGTTCTAATATTTTTGCTTCTGAAATCAATGAATATTAAACTGCAGAAGAAATTTGGGTGAACTTTACACACATGTATACACATGCATACATACACACTCTGACAGTGATCCAATAATAAACCTTTTCTTTCCATTCATTTAATATTTCTTGTAAGGTAGTACTGCTGGCAGCAAATTAGGTGTCTTGATCTGGGGATATGCTCACTTTCTTTATTGTTAAAGAATAGAGACCTTGGTTGGAATTGTTTTATCATTAACCTCTTTGAATATGCCGTCCTATCATGCTCTTCCCACTGTTTCTGAGTGGAATTCGGTGGGTCAGTCTCATAGAAGACCCCTGGTACATGAGAAGTTCCTCTCTGCTGTTCTTAAGATTCTCTGGCTTTCCGGTTTGACTGTGATGCATCTAGGAATGGATATGTCTCTTTTTATTTTAAGAAGGAAAATGTACAGACCAGTGTTTTGCTTGACATATGTAAGTGTTCAGCCATTATTTCTACAAGTATTTTTGTTTCTCCTTTTCACTCCCTTCTTTTTGAAATTCTTCCATGTCTGCTTGTCTGCTTGATGGTGAGGGTATCTGGGTGTCACAGTACCATTTGCTCATTGCATGGCATTGCTTTTGTTCCTGTTTTTAGATCAGTTGGCCATATTTATGGGTCTGTTTCCATTCTGTGGATATAGTTGTCTATTATTTCTCTAACACTATATTTTCATGGTTACTGTTGCTTTATAGAGGCTCTTGAAGTGGGGTACTCTCAGTCCTACTATTTATTTTTTCTCTAACATTGTTTTAACTATTCTAGGTCCTTGTCTTACCTTATAAACTTTAAAAATAAATTTCTGGTATCTATTAATGACTTTGCTGGGGATTTGTTGGAATTTCATTGAATCGAGAGAGCAAGTTGGGAGAACTAAAATCTTATCAATATTGAGTCTTCCTATATATGAATGTAAATATCTCTCCAATTATTTTGTTCTTTGATTATTTCATCACAATTATGTAGTTTTCCTTACATAAATCCCATAGATAATTTGTTAGGTTTTTATTTGATGATTTCATTTTGGGAGCTAATACAAATAATACTATGTTTTAAATTTTACATTCCATTTAATAACATATACATGGAAAATATTTTTTGTATATTAATTTATACCTTGCAATTTTTGTGCAACCATTTACTCATTTAAGTTGTTTTTTTGTTGATTTTGTTGGCTTTTTTGTATAGACAATTTGTCAGAGGCAGTTTTGTTTCTCCTTTCCAAGGTTGTAAATCTTTCACTTATTTTTTCTTGTCTTACTACCTTAGCTACAACTTCCACTGTGATAGTGAAGAAAAATTGTGAGAAGAGAAATCTCTGCCATATTTCTGATCTCAACAAGAAAGTTTTATACTTCTCATCATGCACAGTGATGTCATTCATCAGTGTCTTGTAGATGTTCTTTCAAGGTGAGGATTTTCAGTTCCATTACAGTATGCTTAGTGTTTTTTTTTCTTTTTTTTAATGAATGAGTGTTTAAAATTTTCAGGTGCTTTTTTCAGCATCTGTTGGTGTAGAGGCACAGCTATGCTCAACAACTAGGCCGCACATCGAGAGGTCTGACAGGAGACTTTTATTAGGGAAGGCAGGTTAGGGGGAGAGGAGAGAGGGGGGAGAGAAGGGAGAGAGGGGAAAGAGGGGGAAAAGGGGAAAGAGAGAGAGAGAGGGAGGGGGGAAGAGAAGAGAAGAGAAAAGAAGGAGAAGAGAAGAGGAAAAGAGAAGAGAAGAGACGAGAAAGGAACGTCCTTTTATTGTTTTGGGGCTTGGGTATTGCTTATTTATGAGGAGTGGGCTACTTTTAACCTATCATAGGCCAGGTTTTTTATGGGTTCAGTCCTGCAGAAACAGGTTTAACCCTGCTGTGGCCTTGGGGGGAGGGAGACAAAAGATAAGAGCATGAGGTCATTTTAAGAGCCAAGAAGCACCAGGAAAATGCAGCCTGTGATGGCGGTGTCAGGTCGCTAACAATTGGTATGATAATGTAATTTTTCTTCTTTAGACCGCTTATATGATAGGTTATATTAGGTGGTTTATCCTTGTTGAACCAGTGTGTCATACCAGAGATAAATCCCCTTCATTGTGCTGTATAATTTATATTTTGTTGTGTTTTGCTTCAGCTATGCTCATGAGAGGTATTAGTGTATAATTTGCTCTTCTTGTAATGTTCCTGTTTGATTTGAGTATTAGAGTGATGCTGACCCCACCCCACAGAATGAGCTACTAAGACCTAGTTCTTCTCCGTATCTGTCTTCTGGAAGATATACAGAATTAATATAATTTCCCCCTTAAAAGTTTGATTTGATTAATGGGGTATCAACTTCAGCCTCATCATTTCTGTTTTGGAAAGTTTTTAATTATTGATTCTATGCTTTGATAGGCATAGTTCTACTGAGAATGTCCATTAATGGAATGCTGCTAGAGTGATGCAAGCAGGGCCAGCCGAAAAAGGCACAATGGAACCAGAGGATGGTCCCTAATATTGAAGACATTTGAAGTCTTTATATTCTGAGATGGTTCCTTATGCAGGGATAATTAATTGAACCAGGATGCTGATTTCCGTGAAGGTATGGCTTCACCATTTATAATTTGAATAGGGTGTAAATAAATCAAGTTTGATATTTAAATCACTCTTGAGAGTTCATATAATCTCATGTATTTTACTCAAATTCCTCTGCTAAGATAAAATATTTTGGATTATTTTTATCGTCTGTTATTTTTACAGATTAGGTTTACTTGTGGATTACTGTTTGTGTATCTTAAATTAACATTTCTGATTTAGTGAGTAGCTCTTAAAAATATGATCTTCCAACTCTATTGCCGCTCTGGAATGATAGACATCAGGATCTGGAGGTGAGGGAAGGACAAGGAGTTCTCCTGCCTCCTCTTGGACATCAGAGACCCCTGAGATGGAGGTGTGGAAGCCACACCAGCCCCATGCATAGGTACATCCCAGGCCTGGCTGCTGATGTGTGAAATACCACCTTCCAGTGTTGTTAGGGAGAAAACGGTGAGAAGAAATAGAAACTTCTGGACAAGAAATATGATATATCGCATAATTAGTCTAAGTATAGAATATAAGTATGTGTTTTTAGTAGTATGTATGTTTGGTAGTACTTTAAATCTTGAAATACTGCTTTAGGAAGCCAAAACAGTTATTTCTCAACAACTCTTACACTTTTCATTCTGAGGTGTCAGTGTCACATAACATCTAAGCCCCTCCTCAGTGCAATAGTCTCTTGATCTGTCTTGGGTATTAAATTTGTGGATAGCTGTTTTGGGTCCTTTCTAGGAGGTCTCTCTCTGTTTCTTTCTGTCTGTGTGTCTGTCTGTCTCCCTCTTTCTCTTTCTCTTTTCCTCCCCGTGTCTTTTTCTTCTCACTCTTCCTCTCTTTCTCCCATTTCCTTTGTCTTTCTTTTCCTTAAAATTTATTTCAATCCATGGAGACTTTACAAGATTCCCTTTAAAGAAAACCCTTGTGATTATAATGTGAATGACATGCCAGCCAAATAAGTACCACATTTTGTATTTCTAAATACCATTTTGTAGTATGTATTGCTTGAGGCTGATTATGTAAATCAGAAGTATAAGAGAACACTCATCTTTGAAAAGAAATTTTAGCACAGTTGCTTAGACATTAATGCTGTAAGACTAGGGTAGTGTAAAATAAAGTGCTGGGCTGGGGGTGTCATTCAGTGGTGAAGCACTTGCCTAGCATGTGGAATGTCCTGGGTTTCACCCCCAGCACCACAAAATAAATAAATGAGTGAAAATAAAAATAAATTTAGTTTAAAATTAAGCCAGATATTATGAAATCCACCCCCTAGGTCTATTTTTCATTAGTTCTTCCTGATTAGTTAAAGTTCATTGTAGAAAGGAAGAAGTTGTCCAGTGCAGTCATGGAACGGACTGTGTAGAAGAAGGGAGGCAAATGGTTAAGAGCCAGGTCTCTGGTGCTGGACAGCCGGTGGGTTTTCAGCTCCTTTTCTGCATTGGTAGGCTCAGTGCCCCTTCCTGCTTCGATGTCCTCATCTGTTAAACGGTCATAAAGACAGAATCTGCCTTGTGCAGTATGGTGAGAAATCAATGAATTAGTCTATATGAAGCTTTTAGAAAGTTGCCTGGCACAATATTAATTAGTATTAATACTCATTATGGAGTGTAACTATTATAGACATTATTATCAGTTATTAATATTACTTGGGGTATTATAATAGTCCGTATTTCTAAAATGTCTGAAATGAGATAAATGTTTTATATGATATAGAGCAAATGAACTGCTGAAGAGGATAATGTGTTGTTAGAAGAGGAGAGAGACAGAACACAATGCATTTTGGCAGAAGGCCAGGTTCCCACTTGTAGTTTATTTCTGCGGCATTTCCATAAACTTCCCTGGAGTACAGTGACAAACTGTGTACAATTATCCTGCTAGCTTTCAATGAGCTCACAGCACAAGAGAATTCTCAAAGGAGAATTGAAGAGGCTGGCTAAGAATGTGTGGCTACTTTTCCCTCACAGTATGAATGAACAAATGTGGGCATATCATTTTTAGCACATTTTAAAATTACTCTCACACGTTAGGCAAATTTGCTAAACATTTGTCTGGGGGAGAGAAACAGTGGTTTTGTTTCACCTTGTGTTGAGAAAGCCTGGTGAAGAAGTCCCTCTCTTCTGTCACATATGGGTGGCCTGCTGCAGGGAAGTGCTTGTTCAGTGAGAGCTTTGTAGTATGTGTACTTCAGAGCACAATTTGATTCCCCACAGCTGGCTCTATTGGAGAAAAAGCATATATTTTGACCTCAGTGTTCATCTATATCCTAAATAGCAACTAATACAATTTTAAATTTGGGGTTGTGATTAAAATTTTATATCTTCTCTGAAGCAAGGACATAGAAAACAAGCTGGAAAGTATTTAGTTGTAGTGAACATGTGAAACATCTGAGGAAACTTCTAACATCTACTTAAATCATGTTATACAACTTCAAAAATAAACTAGGGAAATGGGAAAAAAATAATGGAGATTTATCACGTACAGCTACAAACTCCCTGTGATGAATATGATAACAATATACACCTAAATTATACCAAAAACGCAATGAATTAAAAAAAAATAAAGAAACTTAGAAGTTTCAGTCCATTTTCAATATCAGACACGCATTAACTGTCATCTTCTTGAGTTTTATCTTTCCTTACAAAAGTTGTGAGGAACATGGATTTCAGTGAGGCAGAACAGAGTGTTGTTAAAAGTGAAACAAACACAGGTGTCATTCATTGAACTGAAATGCAGTGGGTGAAGTGGGATCTGCTGGTTCTGTTGCTCTGCACAAGACTGGACACTTCTGTCCCTTACTCAGCACTCATTTTAGGGTGTAAATGCCCATCTGGATTTTCTCAGCAGGCACGTAGATTTAAAGGATGAGTGGGAATCCCTTCAATCTACCTCACCCTATCTTCTCTGGCATTTTGTGTGCCATATTTTTACCTTCCATATGGAAAACTCTACTTGTGAAATTTCTGACAAGTGAATTTGTCTTTTATAGAGCAATTTATCATTTTTCCAAGTATGCCAATACAAAAACTTTCTTAATAACTATATAATTTTTAGGAAGAAAATGTAATATTATTTTAAGAACCATTCAAACTTTATAGTTTGTTTGCAACAAAAATTGAACTATATACAGTTCATTTTAAGGGTGTAAATAAGTAAGCCTTATCTTTTCATGTAGTCTGTGTTTAGCAAGGTCTCAAGTGAAGTTAAACAGGTGTTTTCGGTGGCTAGCACCTAAAACAGTGTCTGGCTCATGATAAATACTCAACAAATGTTTTGATTGGATGACTGATTACATAAATAAATAAATGTATGGTATAAATAAATAAATAAATGGGAAGTCTGTTGTTAAGAAAACCTATACCAAAATTTAACAGCAACGTGCTTCAATAAAAACTTCTGGGGGCGGGGGATTTAGCTCAGCGGTTCGGTGGCCTGCCTCGCAAGCGCAAGGACCTAAGTTCGATCCCCGGTACCACACACAAAAAACAAAACAAACAAACAAACAAAAAAACTTCTGTTCAGTGGATAAAACTTAGTGTTTTAATCTAAGGTAAGCTAGGTTGATACAATGTTAATGTGCAAGGAAAAGGACAAGTATTTGAAGTGGTCTGCTCACGAATGAAACAAAATTTCCTTCATAGGAACTGAAACTGAAAATCATTTTCTAATGATTCTGGGAAAGGAGAGAGAAAGGGAGGGAGGAAAGAGGAAAGGAGGAAGGGAGGGAGCGAGAGAGAATGCCTGTGGTGACTTTAGAGATATTGCTAAAAATGATGGTTACACTTTTTATCGCTATGGTCTTAAGATTGAGGAACAGCCTTGACACATTTTTTAGCATGTCTTTTTGTGGCATCACTAGAGATACATTTTTTTTCATTGTTCCTAGGTCTTTATTATAAACACAGAAAGCAAGCCAGTATAGTCTTTAAACAAAGCACAACTTTAAAATACATGAAATTTAGAAACATTGTATCCTTCCACTGCTGCATTAAGCAGTCTGATTTTCAAATGGGGCCTAAAGACCTTCGTGTGACTCACATCGAGACAATAATGAATGAAAGGTTAAAGCCACTTTCTTCCTAAGAGAAGGGAAAGCTGGTTTGTGTAGTAACCACCTCCAAAGAAGACATGTAACAAATGCTAATACTCAACATTAAATTGCTTTGTTTTGTTCTAATCCGCTACTGTGGAATAAAAGCACCTTTTGCTTTCTCACCTCACATCCTTGCAAAGCTTTCAGATGTTACTTAGCTGCCCAGGTACACAGTTTAATGCACATCACTGGCATATTTTTCAGTTGTTCAGATACCAGTTTTTCCCCAGTTGTAATTTGGGTTTATTACAAATGTGACCATTAACCCAGTTAAATTTCTGTTTGTTTTACTTGCTCCATGCTGTCTGTTTGAGTGTAAGTCGCTAATAGAACTCTTCAAGCTTTCTGTTTCAGTAACCTTCATTAAATATTTCTCTTTGGTTTATTTTTAAAACTGGGAACATAGAGATACATTTTTAAAATACGTGATTTGTTGATGATCAAAGCTGTAAATGGATTTTGCATCTTGTAATATTCTGTTAGAGTAATACAAATGGACTAAGATAGCCATTTATTTATGTTCTGCATTTCTTATATGTATAAAGTTTAACTGTATATTCTTCTATAACTTTTATATAGTTCTATGGGATAAAACAGTGTTACAAAAGATATGATGTAGGCTGAATTTGAACCCAGTTTTTTTCTGGACTCTATATTCTTTTTTGGGGAGAGTACTAGGAATTGAACTCAGGTCCTTGTGCTTGCGAGGCAGGCGGCAGAACCACAGGCAGACATCCCTGAGAGAAATAGAAAGTGGACATTAGGTGGTTACATTCACTCAAATGTAGAGATTATCTCTGCTGGTTTCAAAATTGATATAACCAAAAGTAGCTAAAGGGCCTATTGAAAATACACTGGTTTCTACTCCAGACAGTCTTTCGCATTTCCACCACTTTTCAGGTAGTGCAGTTGATGGATCTGGT